AAGGATCGTGCATGTGACACTGAAGACTGGAGTAATGATGCTGAAAATTAACTAAATCTTCATATTAAAATGATTTCTGATGAATCATGTGACACTGAAGACTGGAGTAATGATGCTGAAAATTAAGATTTGCCATCACAGGAATAAATTATATTTTAAATTATGATATTTCACGATATGATTTTTTTATTTTTATAAATGTAGCTTGTAGTAGGGGCCTATAACAAGGAGATTATGACCTTCACATTAGCTACCGAGAATGGTTTATGATTACTAAAAAGTACATTTGTTAATTTTATCATTTTCCCCCGTTTTGAGGCAAAATACGGTGTATGATTGAATGAAATAGTTTTGTGGATCCACGTCTTGTATTTACAGTGTTTGGCCAGCAGATGGAGATATAATAGTTCTAATAATTACACAGGAAGTACCTCAGAGACTAACCATACTGTATTCGTGAAAAGAAGTTCAACAGCTTGATTAGCTTAACTATTAGCTGTATGATTCTGTTTATATAGATATATGGATTGGGCTGACCCATTATTTGAACTGTAGCAAACATGAACAGAGCAAATGAGGGAGAAAGAGGGACTCTGACTCATCCGCGCCTCATTATCCTCTCAGCATTTTTGTCAGGGCGAAATTTAAGAACACAAGGTGGCGTTACCAGAACGATAACAAGCCCTGCCACCACACAAAGAAACTACCCCTCACCAGTGTAGGTTTGTTCCAAAGCAGGAGCAACAAGAACCACAGCCTCTGAGAGGAGTGTTGTAAGCATCCTCTCTCTCTCTCTGGGTAATGTGAGGCAGGGCATGTTGCCATGGAGACGAGGGTTCAGGGGTAGGAGGACTCAGGGGAGCGATGTAGCTCGGAGAGCAGGATGTTCTAGTGAGTGTGTGATACTCATCATCCTCAGTTCAGCAGACCGTGATACATTCTTGTTTTCGATCCGTCTAATCAGCCAGCATTACTCAGTAATACTGTGCAGATGAGAACGCTTTCCCTGAAAAACGCCGCTCACGGTTTTTAGCTCGATAGCCGTCGCAGAACTGCTTTGACAAACGTCTTACATCTGAAGTTAATTAGCTTCCTCAAAACTCTCCCAAGAGGCAATGCTGTGTTTTGTTTCAGGCCTAATCAACGCGTAGCTAGAGTTACCGAAACCAGGTTGTAATAAATACATAAATGCACACACTATAGCTTCCGTTTAATAATTGTAGTGGGGTTTTTTGTCTTGCAACAGACAGCCAAATATGATCATTCTCATAGAAGGACCCCCACCATATAATTTAAAAGGCAATAATAATAATTGTATGTATAAACACCCAATTTACAGTGTGAAAACATAGAATATACATGTTTAAGATATTTGTAAAATATTTCGTTTCTTTTGTTACATCATTTCGCTTTACTACTAAAGCCCCGTTCACACCAAGAACGATAATTATAAAGATAACGATATTAGCGTCCACACCAGCGTACGATATCGTCTGTTTATTCTAAGCGCACATGTGTCTGCCGCTTTAAATTCTTGAGCTCGTTCTGATTGGCTGTCAGTGTTTTATCGTTCCATCAGCTGGAAAAAAATTGTTTTGAAAGTGATCACAACGATATCGTTCCTCTGTATCGTTATCGTTATAGTTGTAGTGTGAACTATGCTATTCTTTAATATTGAGAACGATTTTTAGAACTATATCTTTATCGTTATCTTTATAGTTATCGTGCTTGGTGTGAACCGGCCTTTAGGCTACTACACTGAAAACAACTGATGTAGGGAAAGTTTTTACTCAGAAATTGCTAGTAAATATTTTACAGTGTACTGTACTATTAGATGTATTATTGAAATCCAGTTTTATGTTTTATTAATTCAATTATTAATTTAATTTTTTTAATTCAAGTTTATTTGTATAGCGCTTTTTACAATACAAATCATTGCAAAGCAACTTTACAGAAAATTAAGTTTCTACAATATTTAGTAGTAGCTTATCAGTGGTGACGTAGATTAAAGATTAAATACGTAATCAAACGGAGACGATTAACAGCAATTATTATATGACTATTAACAGCAATTATTATATGATGCAATCAAACTTATAGCAAAATTATTTTTTATTTATTCAAATCAATTTTATTTAATATTTTTATTTTGTAAATTGCATTTGGTTTTTAAACAAATATTATTGTTATTACTATTGTTGTGTATTTAATCAAATTTATTTTTTTAATCTTATTTATTTATTTATTTATTTTGTTATGTTTAAACTTCACCAGTGACCTAGAACCAGGGTTATTATAGTTAACTGAAATTAAAACTCAAATTAAAACCATGAAAAATGTTGTTACTTCAATGTTATAAAATAATAATAAAATTAATTATTTAAAAAAAACTTATTTTATTTCGGCTATAGTTGCCAAAGCACCATTTCCTATTTTCATTTAGTTTACCTTGATGTTCCAAAAATAAAACTGGATTGAATGAACGAATGAACGAATGAATGAATGAATGAATGAATGAATGAATGAAAATAAATAAATAAATACTATGACCTATAATGAATGAATGAATGAATGAATGAATGAATGAATGAATGAATGAATGAATGAATGAATGAATGAATGAATGAAAATAAATAAATAAATACTATGACCTATAAAAAAAAGGAAAGGAAAAAAAATCACAAAAATCACAAAAAGACAACTAAATAACTAAAACTTTCACATTCAAATGATAACAGAACACATAAAAATAAATACTAATTCAAAATATTAATAAAAACTCAAAGTATCTTGATGATATAAAATAACAGTGTCTAGCACTGCATTGCACCCCCCTAGTTTGAAAACCCCTGGTCTAGACAAACAGCTAGAGAATCTCCTGTGAACATTTAACAAGCTCGGTCATTAGCTTTTACTGAACGGCCCACGGTCAAGCCACAGGCGCGCTCGCAAACACACCCAACACTCTGCCGGTACATAAAGAGTTTCATCCACAAATGCACCTGGAAGGTCCTCGGAAATGCTTTTAATGCACATCGATGTCTAAAACACTTCACCGCCAGAGCCTCCTGTGTGCAGGCCCGACCACATAAACACAGAGCTGTCTGAAAAGAGTTGGGTGAACACATTAAACTGGTAGCAAGCAAAGTGCACATGCACTCCGCTTCCCAGCATCCTTTAATCATCGGCTGGGCCGTGCATAAGAGGAAAGAGGTCACAACAGTGCTGTCTATTTAAGACCTATTGGGAGTTTTAATGAGAAAGTGTGTTTTTGATGATGGGACGGCGTCTTTTCATTCACTTTTCAGTGCAGGCCCAGAGCTTTTATCTTGGTTTGTTATGTAGTTGGCTATTTTACTTGAAGCTACCACAGGGTTACTCTGTATCTCTTTTCTGCAGTGGTGCATCAGTACAAAACCTCCTCTAGGCCCTATTGGATCCGCGGTTCGATGGGATGGATGGGTGCTAATGGACCTGCATACAGACCAGGGAACAAAAGCACAAGGCCTCTCCTATTATAGAACTTGCGCTCTCTCGCAGTCTCACGCCCTGTTGCACGCGCCTTGCTTTGACACTCGTCGTTGCCGCGGAGAGCGCGGTTGCTAGGCAACGGATGAAAGCTGAAATCCCTGGGTAACTCGTCGCTTACTGCCCCGACCTGCCTCCCATCCCTGCTTGCTGGCTTATTAACTTTATTTCATTGGGAAGGAAAAAAAGAGTATCTCATTTAAACGAGCATTATAGCTATATGACTCGGCTGTGATTTATAGCATTGCCTTATATCTTGCATGCAGAGCATCCTATTTTTTATATAATAAATAAATAGGATGCTGTGCATGCAAGATATATAGACGTATGTGTTTATGAATGAGATACATCATTCACTGATGTCCTAAATGAATAATGAACGAATATTTGTGAAAAACAAGCAAGAGAGAGCCTTTGATATTGATCAGATTCAAACAAAAGCATAAAAATGCAGTGTATTTTAGGCAATAGTTGATTAAATAGCTTTATAGTCTTTACATGTAGATTGGTGTTGAGTTATTTTTATAATAATAATGATAAAAATAATAAATGTTGTTATTAAAATATAATGTGTATAATTTATATACATATAATAATAAACATATAAGAAATATGTAGAATGTAGATGGCATTTTAATTTTCATAATAATGATGAGGATTTTTATTATTATATAAAATGTTTATCATTTATATAAATAACAAAATATGTAAATAAAACATTTTTCATGTAGTATGAAGACATTGTTTTTATTTCATATAATAATAATTATTATTATTTAATTATTATAAATATAACAATAATAATTGTTTTTATTATTATTGAATAATAATATAATTAAATAATAATATAATAAAATGTTGATCATTTATATAAAAATATGTATAAATAAAATATGTTTCATGTAGAATTGAAGATAGCATTGTTTTTATTTAATATATTATTGTTGTTGATGATGTTGTTATTTTGTTGTTGAATAATATAATAATAATAATATAAAAATGTATACTTATAAATATATTAGGTATTTGTAGTAATAGTAGTACAGATTTTATAAATATTTATGTAATTTATATTAAAATAAATATTCTATCAAATAAACAAAATTATTATTATAATTATTATCAGTTTTACGGTAAAATTCCGGTAACCACAGCTGCCAGTTTTTTACCGTAAATTTTACGGAATTTTTTTTACAGTGTAGTATTGCATGCAGATGCCGTTAATAATATAAAATCAATGTAAGTATTTATATACGTTGTGTAACCATAAGTATTATATAAAATATCAATAAAAACAAGTATTTTTAACAAATCATTGCAGTGTATTTATTTATGTGCCAAAAACGTACTCAAGTAAACATGTAAATGCCAAATCTTCTTAGTTGGCTTTCAGTGGGTATCACGGCACTTTTGTACGCATTCTTAATTGATTTCAGGAGGGTGTTACTTAGTATGTGTTGAGGAAGCGTAAGAGAAGGAGGAGGAGGAGAGAGAGAGGGACTGGAGAGGGTTGCATTGCATGAAGATCCGATGAAGGCTATTGCAATAAGAGGGCAAGAGAGAGGGGTGGGGGCAGAATGACGCTGATTCGGGGCTATTGATCTCTTCCTCCCCTCTATACGGGGTCAGTAGTTTGATCAGAGCGCGCGCAGGATCACACAGAAGAGCCACACACGCGCTTTTGTAACATGAAGCGGCGCGTATAGAGCTATCCAACAGGACACTCATCACCAATCCGATCCAGTCTGTCTCTAACCTGATGACGGGAAACAATAAGATTATCCAGCAGGACAGGAGAACGACGCGTTATATCTCAGGAGAAAAGTAACTGGTGTGCACTGACAGATGATGGTGCGCTCGAGATCAACAGATCTGGCCATGAAGCCGTTCAGAATCTCCGCGCTGATGATGTTCCTCTTCGCATCTGTTCATATCTCGTGCCCATCGCAGTTCCCCAGTCCGCTCATGTAAGTACTTTGACGTTGTTGTGTGTGCAGAAGAGCGTCACAGTGTTTCAACTGTTGATTAAAACGCTTTTTTCCCCTTTCATTCAGTTTGAACGTGCGTAAGTGTAATTGTAAGTTTTTGTGAGTGTGTATATCGTGCTGGATGCATAATACACAAACTATTTATTTACTTGTGTGCAGTTTAACATGAATGTAACGCATCGTATGTAATCTGTATACTTTATTTAGATTTTTGTTGGTTACACTTTACTTGAAGGGGTGTGCATAAGACTGACATGGCACCTTCATAATCATGACATGACACCACACATGTTATGAATATGAAGGTTTTTTATGCATGTTTTTGACAACTGTCATTAAGTGTCATTCGCTCAGTTATGTAATTTTTAATGCAAAGATGACATTGTTTGAGATGTCTTTGTTATGGGCTATGGTTAGGGGTAGGGTTAGGTCAAATAATGTCATATTTGCATTAAAAATTACATAACTGAGCGAATGACACTTAATGACAGTTGTCATAAACATGCATAAAACCTCCTTCATATCCATGACATGTGACGTGACATGATTATGAAGGTGCCATGTCAGTCTTATGCACTCCCCTTCAAGTAAAGTGTTACCTTTTTGTTTCATTATAAACAATAATTGTCTACATCTATATGCCCCAATAATGGTCAATAATGTCCAAACGCTAAAACGTACATGTAAACTTATAGACAATATATAAATTATGTTTAATGTTGTTAAGAGGTAACGTTGTTTAATAATACAGCAGACAAATACACAATCGATATTATGAATTATGTTGAATGATTGGGGGGAGGAGACATTATTTCCCATTATTGATTTGTTTATCAAGGCATGAAGTTATTCACTCTTCAAGGTTTTTCATGTAAGACTTTTCCATGCAAGACTGTTGATAAGCACAACTGTTAAGATCCAAACAAAGGAACAAAAAGCACCTTAAAAGTGTTCTGTAGGACTTGTGAGCGAAATCCCAAGCCTTCTGAAGTCTTCTGATTATGATCTTCTCCTCCAGTGATCTTGAGAGCCTGTGGGACTGAATCAGTGAGTCACTATGATTCGTAAAAGAATCAGTACAATTTGTTAGCTGGTTTAACCAATTGAAAAGAACTGGCTCAAAAGCATGATTCATTCATTGCTCCAGTTCTTAAAATCTGACTCAGCGATCTGTTCACAATGGTTCTTCAGCTAAACACTCTCTTTTAGATTATTGGTGAATTTTGACAAATTAAGGTATGTTAATCTCGCAAACATATTGTGTGTATGTGTTTAACTTTTTACTGACACTAATCTTAAGGTTATAAGCCAGGTTAAAGCTTTTACCCCCTGTGGTTTCCATTTCACTTTCACCTTATGTAATCTTTTCCCATGATTTAAGATTTTTCACTTTACAAATATCATTCAGCATGAGATATTTAACTGAACATAGACACATTATTTTACCTAGCTGAAGACGTCCAGATTATTTGCTCCAATGTTACTTGAATAAAAGTTCAGTATTGCTTTAGTTAATGTATTGCATAACAATATTCAACAGAAGTGCATTGTGACCATGTAGGCAAACAAATGATTGTGTTTGTGAGAGACAGATGTGACCTGACAGATGGTTGAGCATTTTTCTGTTTTGAGCTGGCAAGTCTTTTGTTAACCTGATATTTGAATGAGTCTGTATAGCAGACAAGTTAAATCTTATGCAAAAAGTAAGTTTAAACTATTGTGGATGTGCACGATTGTGAATTTGTACGGAAGGCCCATTGCTATTCCCCAGCTCAGTACATTGAGGTATTCCTGTTGTTAGCATGTTTCAGGACAGATGCATCTGAGATGAATTGCCCTTATTGTCTGCACTGCTGCTTAAAAAGTGATTGTTTCACCAGGTGGTTGTGACAGCAGAACAAGAGATTTGTCAGTTTCCTCACTGATACAATCTTAACATGCCACAGATTTTTACGTGCTTTCATAAATCTATAAACTGTCATTTCTGAATGCAGTAATAGACAGAATTGGTGTATTTTTTACATCGTGACTGTGGTCTCACATTGTGTTTTATTGCATGGTGTGAAGAGCATTAATCCAATGCATTAAGATAACGATTTACAAAGATTATGTAAGAAGCTGGACCTTTTGATTTGACCACCTGTTTGTTCTGCACTAGAACATGCATTCAGGAAAAACAAACCTCTTGGGTGGCCTGAACTGACGTAGGTCAATATATTTGTAATGGCCGTAAAAACCAGGAAATAATTGTTCCGCATAACAAGTGCTTTTGTTAAATGGGCTCTTCAGGTAGATGTCTGAGAATCTACGTCAATAATGCATTGCTTTAAAATAATGAAAAAGAATGATATGCCTTTGTGTTATTTTCAGTTGTTGAAAAGGTTGTCTTGAAAAGGTTACAGCAGAATAGTACAGTGTCAATTAAAAGTAAGGGGGAAAGCTTCAAGGAATGGATCACCACAAATTGAAAACTTGCTGAAAGTTTACTCACCCTCAGGCCATATGTAGATGAGAATGTTTCTTCAATGGAACAGATTTTGAGAAGTTAGCATTACATACTTGCTCACCATTGGATACTCTGCAGTGAATAGCTGCCGTCGGAATGAGAGTCCAAACAGCTGATGAAAACATCACTAGTAATCCACATACTCCAATCAATCAATTATCATATTGTGAAGTGAATAGCAATTATTGTTTCTGGCTAAAATGTGAGTAATCTATCCATAATATTGCTTTTGCCAGTGAAAAGTCGTCTTGTCTGAATCAGGAGAAAAATATGCGCAGAAAAACAAGCAAAAACAGTTCTAAAAAATGTCAGTGAATTTTGATGTGAGAGGACAACAGTTAAAACATTCTAATAATGGATTTGTTTACTACAAACACATGGCTTCTCACTTCACAAGATGTTAATTTATGGACTGGAGTCATGTGGATTGGTTGTTGTTTTATTGTGATGTTTTATCAGCTGTTTGGACTCTAATTCTGACAGCACCCATTCGCTGCAGAAAATCCATTGGTAAAAAAGGGATGTAATGCCAAATATCTCCAAATCTGTTCCGATGAACTACATCTTGGATGACCTAAGGTTAAGTAACTTTTCAGCTAATTTAAATTTTTGGGTGAACTGTCCCTTTAAGATAACTAATTTCTCCTTTAAAGCTGCAGTCCGTAACTTTTTTTGGTTAAAAATGATCCGAAATCAATATTTGAGCAAGTACATAACCAGCCAGTGTTCAAAACTATTGCCTTACTTTAGCCCGATTCACAACGGTTAGCTTATAATAATGTTTTCTAATTTGAGTGATACGGGTAGGTTTTCGCGGGAAATTCATTGTCATTACGTCACGTCTGTAAACATAAAGAAGTTGTCCTGGCTAGTAGGCTATCGCGTGTAAGGATGCTGCAGGTGGAGGATTGTTTGTAGCCTTTTCTCACAGCAGCTGGAATAATTACATTTATCATTTTGATGGCGGATTGTAATCCAGAAAGGATTATGTGTTTATGAAACACATGTGAATAAAAATTAAATTATATTCCAGTTTTAAATGTGCTTCTGATTACAGATAGCCTGGGATTACACAAGATTTGTATTTTGAAGACAACCAGTTCGAAGGGAGCATAATTTGCTTTTTGGGTTAAAATAATTTCTTAATATGAAATTCAAAGATTATGACAATTAGAGTTTAGACTGTACAGAAATTGAAATCTACTCGCTTATACACACTATACTCATAGTCACACAATGCTGATGTAGTTAACATTAACAATTTGAGAATAAAGTATAACAATAATAATAATTTGCACAATAAATAATAATAATTATTGGAATGCTTTTTTCCTCAGTTGGTCAGAACAAACGTGGCAGACTTGTTACTTGTTCAGATGACAATATCCAGTGAAAATTCTTATTTGGGTCATATTCCAAGATGTAGGCTAGAATCTGTGATTGCGAAGTACAGTAAATATCCACACCAGTGCGGTGACTGACTGCCACACATACTCTTCAGAATATTAGATTAATCGCGCTGAAGCCGAGCCGCCGCACAACCCACGCAAGCTAGATAATTCCTCACACTGCTGCAATTCCAGGTTTTCAAACAGAGATGGCGACAAAGAGGCAAAACTTACGACTGCAGCTTTAAGTTAACATATTTAACCATCTCCTTTAGTTGTGAGAGATACTGCAAAGTAATACTATGTGTATGTGTGTCAGTTTATTTTTTGCATATACTGTAGCTCATTTTTGCTTCCCACAATTAGTTTTATTTCTGTCTGTTCTTGGATGTACAACGGTTGTTGAAACCATTACTGTGGGAGAGAAAGAAAAGGTGCATCAAGACAAAAACAGCAAAAAACAAATAAATAAAACACTTTCGGCTTTCCCTCCCATCTGTGCCTCAGATACACTTATAAAGGAAGTGAGAGTACTCAATAACTAATCCACTCAATTTGGAGCGACATAAGCCACACTGCTCCTCTGGTTTCTTTCAATTGGTAGTATTAGTGCAGAAACAGGCTTTTTCGAGAGAGAACTGAGGGAGGATTCCCACAGAGAGATGACGCAGGTGATCACTGTGACTGTGTCCTCTTGACAACTTGAGACACCTGTCCCTCAGTCCCACGCTCATCCACTTACTGACACAGAGACGCCACTTACCTGTGGAGAGGACAAGATCAATGTTATGCTGTAATAAGCGGTATGTTTAGGAGCACACTTAAAAGAGTAGTTCAGCCAAAAAGGAAAATTCTATTGTTTACTCGGTCTCATTTCATTAGCTGTGCAAAGTTTGTTTTATTATTATTATTTTATAATAGAAGCTCTGCTAACAAGCAGACCAAAATCAGCATATTAGAACGATTTCTGAAGGATCATGTGACACTGAAGACTTGAGTAATGACTGTTGAAAATTCAGCTTTGAATTGTCATCACAGGAATAAATAACATTTTAAAATATATGAAATAGAAAACAGTTATTTTACATTGTCATAATATTTCACAATTTTACTGTATTACTGAATTTTTGATACAGCCTTGGTTAGCATAAGAGGCTTCTTTCAAAACGTCTTTCTTACCCCAAACCTTTAGTGTTTGACAGACTTGTGTTGCATTTACAGTATACATTTTATAAGTTAATTCCCTGAGAATGAATCACTGACTTTGGTGTTGCTAGTGCCTTGCTCAACATTTTAAACTACAGGAATGTTTAAGCTATCCCCAACATGTTTTTAAGAAAGAAATAATAACAGGATTCATCAAAGCGTGCAAGTTTAGTTGCATTAGAGCTTTGTTTTATCTGTCCTAACCGACCCAAGTCTGACTGCAATGGTGCCCCCTTAATAAATAGTTGCATGGTTCCCTGGTCTAGAACCTTGCATTGTTCCCAGCAGCAATTGTTTAGTGTAAGCTTAGCCATAAGTTCTTTAAAAAGAAAAAAAGCTTAGAGTCACAGTTCTGTTCCCCTGTTAGATGAGCGCTAATCCTCAGCCTGTAAAGGGATTAAATAGCTTATTATAGAGGAGCACAGGGAAATCTCTGAATGGACCTTGGAAATTTAAGTGAATGAACTTATTATGATCACTGACAAATTACCTTTTTAGCAGAATTCATCTAAAGAACTGTGGATGTTTCCTTTGACTAACCATTTTATCTTACCTACTGTACTAGATAGACGTTATCTATTAATTCAAGATAATGCTGTTGGATGTAAAAGATACATGAACAGTTAGGTAACACGTCACTTGAGGCCTGTATGTATTATACATTATAAAAGTTTTCTTATTGCATTAATTATGCCTCAAAATGCACCATTGTATGTTCTTGTGAATAATTGCAACATCATTGCTACACCTTTAAAGAGTGAAATGCATTAAACCACATGATAATCAACCAATTTTATGCATAGTAAGAAACCTGCAAGTATTGTAGTATATCTTAACTGTGATTAAAAATTAAGTACTTTCATTATACTGTAGATTAAGCTTCAACTTAAAGGAATAGTTCACCCAAAAATGAAAAATTGCTGAAAATGTACTCTCCCTCAGGCCATCCCAGATGTAGATGAGTTTTGTTTCTTCATTAGAACAGAATTGAAGAAATGTAGCATTACACTCTGTGGTGAATGGGTGCTGTCAGAATGAGAGTCCAAACAGCTGATAAAAGTCTGAATCAGGAGAGAAATATGCACAGATCAAGCACATTTACTAGTGAAAACAATCTAAAATGGTTCTTAATAAATATGTTGCTCTATTTCGATGTGGGATGGACTTTCACTGGAGGAAGCATTATTTTGAATGATTGATTCATTATGGACTCATATTTTGACTCATATTTGTTAAAATGCCTTAATGATGAATTTATTTCTTACAAACACACAGCTTTTCACTTCACAAGACGTTAATTGATGGATTGGACTTGTGGGAATTACTTATGGATTATTGTGATGTTTTTGTCAGCTGTTTGGACTCTCATTCTGACGGCACCCATTCACTACAGATGATTCATTGTTGAGCAAGTAATATAATGTTGCAGTTTCTCCAAATCTGTTCAGATGAAGAAGCAAACACATCTACATTTTCAGCATTTTTTTTAAATTTATTTTTGATTAAATTATTTCTTTGAGTGTTTCGTACATCTGCAGACATTTAGACTTTGTTGCATCAGTACATGAGTCATGGTGGTTGTGAGAAACTTTGCTTTTCTTCCACCATAAAACCTGGCAGCGTGTGTGGCTGTAAGTTTACTAGGTAGTGTGCAACATCCTGTGAGCCAGCCAAAGCCCTGTGAGTGAAGGAGGTCTGACTGGTAATGGCTTATTTACAGGGTGTTTTAAAGAATGTGTGGGACTTTACATTGCTGGAGGCATAGTTGCAAACAGGATATTTTGACATAGCAGACTTGGTGCAAAAAAGTGCTGGTATAACCATATCTGTCCACCTCTGCTCGTTAGAAAGCACTTCAGCCAACAGATTGTCTCATTGCAACCTACATCTGTGCTTCTGTGTTTCCAGCCCCTGAGGAAAAAAGCCTATGACAGAAGAATAGAATGAGCGCTAGAGGAGAAGAATGGAGGAGTCTATATTAAATTCAGAATTCTTTGCAGCCCATCTATCTTTTTTCACTTCCTTTTTTTTTGACCCCAATACAGAGAGCACTGGAGGGTTCTATTATACTAGTATTGATGGTCTGGGTTCACGGCTTAAACTTGGATGACTGCTGTGGATATGTGTGTTTTTGTTCTTCTGGGAAAGAGCGTAAGAACCTGGCCTTTTTCTCTGGTATCACAAAGCCACTGAACATTTGCTACTCAGCTTCTTTTATGTAGACAGCAGACTTTTGTTCTCTCACAAAAATAATACATGAGAGGGCAGAATGCTTTACCGAATATTTCTGTGCTGCATGAGCGAGTGAGAATGTTTAATAATTAAAGATTAGAAATGATTTCATATACACTACATAATGTTTTTGAAAAAGGCTTACTAAGACGGCAGTTGTTTTATTAAAATACAGTAAAATCAGTATGCTGTGAAATATTATTACAATTTAAACTGTTTTCTATTTTCATATTTTTAAACTGAATTTTCAGTATCCATTACTCGTCTTTATCCTTCAGAAGTAATTCAAATATGCTGATTTGGTTCTCAAGAAACATTTTTCATCGTAATCAATGTTGAAAATAACTGTGATGCAATATTTTTGTGGAAACAGTGATACATTATTTGTAAATTATATTAATTATTTGATTATTTTTTAATTTAATTAAATTTTTAAGGAAATTAAAAGTTTTATTTAGCAAGGACACGTTTCCTCAAAAATAAATAAATAAAAAATGAACAACAAACAAATAAATAGTGCTTTATATTTTGCTAAAATACAAAATGTATATTGCATAAAAACAAATGAGTGTTTAGGATCACAGTTTGTCAGAAATACAGTTCTTCAAGAGATGATACCTCTAGTTTTCCGATGGACTTCACACTTCGCAAACACCTCCTGAATTTCTCATCGTGGTTTGGGTAATTTTAGATCTGTGATCACAGAGGCCATGAAAGACATGTGACTTCGTCCTGATGTCCATGAATTCACTCCTCTTTTCATCTTGCAGTGTAACATCAAGGAATATCATGAAGAAAGAGAGTTTCCATCAAAGTGTGGCTGTACAGTAGGATTAATTATTAATATTAATTGGATGTTATATAACCACGCGGAGCAGTCATTGGAACCACTTCTCTGAATTTTTGTCTTGTAGAACAGGTCTGCAACCATGTGCGGTTTATAAGATTTACAAATTGTAGGTTAAAAATGAAAGATTTTGCTTTCTCAAAATATAAATACTTAAAAATATGGAAGCGTAACACTTTGAGGGATCGCCAGTTTTGTGTTATTCTGCAGATGCATTTCATTTTAAACATTTGTGCTTTTATTTTAAAGTTCATGCGAAATGTTCTTATTTTGCATACGTTTGCTGATTGTTTCCAGGTAGGTAACTTATTTGTGTTTGTACAACCCTTTGTCTGCTAAGTTTGATATGCCCAGGTTTATTGAGGATTTGACTTGCTTGATCGATTTTTGTGTCATCTTGATCAAATAAATGAGCCATTTGTTTAGTTCAGACAATCAGGTAGGGTCACACAAACTGCAAAATAAAAGCACAGCATTTACAAAACACAAACAATCACTAAAGCCATTTCTGAGGTGCACATGTTTGTGCTTGAAGCGTTTTGGGTTTGCTCTGAAGGACAGGGTTTTTTTGTGCGTTCACCAGGTTATTCATCTTGAGTTCTTGCTTGCAGTGTGCTAACTGACTATTTAGTCGTTTGTAGCTGCTTCGTGCTATTTTTAAATCGTGCATATTAAAAGCACCTGTCATGAGATCACATTTGCTGTAACTCTTCCATACTGCAAATTGCTTTCGATATGACTCACGTATGTAGCTGTCTTCATGACTGTGGCTTAGTTACTTCATAAAGACTTGAATTGTTTTCCATCACATTTTCTGACCCCTCTAGGTATACATTTAGATTGCAACTGTATATTTTAATAGCAGTGTTTGTGTTTGCAGGATAAAAGAATGGGTAGATCAACTGCAGCAGGAGCTGGTTTCTCTAGCAGACACAGCCAGCGCTGGGAATAATCTAAGACAGGTCAGAGGTCCAAAGGCCTTCACACTTTACCACGCACACACACCCCTGTACATATTGATGTATGTGTATTTTAATGTGTATTCACCCCAACAAATCATAAGCGAGAGTTAATCCTCAATAAAAGCCTGCTTAATTATCAAAACAATCATTACCGGTAAACCATCATCTCGTTACCTCATTACCAGAGTCCCTAATGAGTGTCTTTTTCTCTCCGTTATGGCAGATCTTTATGGATAATCAGAATTATTTCACTGTGAAATCAAATAATGCGGCACAGCTTGTGGAAACAGCGGCAAGGAATATAGAAAATTTTTTGAAGAAGCGAGCCGCAGCTCTAGAGGTAAGACCATCCTGCTTTATTTGATTTTAGTTGCATAAACATCAAAAGATATGAAGTACACATGTAAAAAAAAAAAAAAAAAAAAAATATATATATATATAGATCTAAAACAACAAAATATTCATCACACACACATAATTATAATTTGTATTTTTATATAACGATTATATAACAATTATATATATATATATATATATATATATATATAGCTCATGTAAAAAAATGTCATTCATCATAACATACATATTTACAAATGAAACATGCTTTTATTTTTAAATGTTATTATATTTTACATATATTTCTTAAATATATACAGGTATGCCGGTGTATTTATAATGTATACATAGAACACACAATATGTGTGTGTGTGTACAATGAAACATGCTTTTATTTTTAAATGTTATTATATTTTATATTTTACGTATATTTTTTAAATATATACAGGTAAGCCTGTGTATTTATAATATATACATAGTACACACAATATATGTGTGTGTGTACTATGAATATGTATATACACAAACTTTTGTTTTGGATGCGATTAATAGCGTTTAATCGATTTGACAACACTCATTTTAAATAATTAAAATGTGTTCTAAATATGCCTGACAAGGCATAAGTTACTGAATGCCATTGTTGTGGTTGTCTTCTGTAAATCATGGTGAAAATGTATGATAGTCATTATTTCATGCTCAGAAAAAGATCAAATTAATCTGGACACATTCTAATGTTTGAAAAAAATGTAAGCGGTATTAAACTTTTATTGTTTTGATGCTTGATTCATATATAAAACATAGATTTTTTTTGATGTTCAAACCGTTAGATAGTTTGTCTGTAATTTGTAAACAATGATGTAATCAAGAGCCAGTGGTCGCAGGTGTACATTTAGAAAGCTTGTTGAGTTGCTTGTTTGGAGTTGAACAGATGCCCCATAGACAGCAAAATAAAATTGCATCTACCCTCTTGTGTGCTCGTACTGACCTGCATCTGATCTATGCATCAGTGAGTATGCGTGTCCGCGCACACGCCAGCTGGCATATCCTTTGGAAAGATGGATGGATGGATGCCAGCGGGTTATAATTGTTTTTTAGCCTTTGAAAGATTCTGGGTGTCTGCGCCTGCTGCAGATGTGTCGGGCTTTCCCCGCTTCACTGATGCCCGTCTGCAGACCTGGAGGGGGTTTGGGATGGCTGCTGTGTTTGTCTACCCGTGGCTCCATTAGCATGCAGAGGAAGTCTCAGTAGTGGTCAAGGCTGTCGGGCGATGATTGTATTAGTTTGTGTGAATAATGTTGTTGTCTTTGCAGAGAGGCAGGAGAGGGAGAGGGATGTTTGGACTGGTCCTTCTCAGCCCATTACTCAGGTGTTCTCTCGTCTTTTAGTGACAGACAGACAGGCCTTTGGGAATTTCCTCGCTCTTTCACTCACATCTGTCTCAATAACACACTCGTGCGCTTGTTTTTCATCCCCACATCTCTCGGCCTCCCCAGAACACTTAACATTGACTTAAATGTTTCACTAGAATAGATTTAATCTTTTTTACCTCACAATTTGTCACACAATTGTCTTGTGTATACGGACAGGAAGATTATGGTTTCATTTGAGGTTTTGCAAGACTGGATATTGATTCCTTTTCTTGTAAATGCCACAAGGAGGTCGTTTACTAAGACACTAATGAGATGTTTTGCTACTGTACTTAAGTTGTTTATGAAGGCTGTTTGTGTAAACAGTATTGATTCCTTTTATTTATATTTTTACTTTTTGTGGTGCTAGTGTGAGTATTAAACTTTGGCATGTAACTCATTCTGTTGTTCGTGCTTCGGAAATGAATGGCGTCTCAAATCAGATGTATGCTCTTGTTTTACATTAGCATTCAGGTAGTGGACTATCAAATAAGCAAAAAAATAAATAAATCCTGAAAGGAGAGTTTTATTTTAGTATTACTTGTAATATATTTGTATTACTATTTTGAATTAGCTTTTTATTTTTCAGTTTTAATAAGATTTTATTAATTTGATGTGCTTTAAAAATGCTATTTTCAGACTTCATTTAGACTTCATTAGCATTCAGGCAAAATAGAAATACCTGAACAGTGTTATATTAGTATTATTTGGATTATACTTTTATTAATATTTTGAATTGGCTTTTTATTTTTCACTTTTATTTTAAATGTAATTTATTACATTTATGTGGTTAAAAAAATACTATTTAGTATACTATATTTCTTTTATTTTATTTTATTGCCAGTTTGTAATTTTAGTGATTCAACTTAAACTTATATTAGTTCAAAAAAACGTTAAATTTCATTTAACAATTAGTTTTATTAGATAAATAACAGTAATACATATTCCATAGGCTTACATTGAAGGAGGGTTTTGAGTCATCTAAGAAATCTTGTTGCTGTTAATTTTATTTTCTACTCTGATTTTTTTTTGCAATTAACCTTGAACAACTTGACACTATTTCCTGCTTTCCTAATTTAATTTGAGCCTCAAGTGTGTTATTTTTTTTAATAATAATTATTATTTAATGTTACATAGACATTTATGATTACTTTCTGAAAATCTCCCATTGACTGTAAAATGTTTGGTATTGGAAATCTGACAGTGATGACTTCATTATATTTTGCATACTGAATTGTGATTAGTATTTTGCACCCATTTGCATACCGAATCATAATGTGGCTTTTTTGCATCTATTTAACCTTCTACTTGCCTTTACACTACAAAGATGGTGTCAGGCTGTGTGCTGATTCTCCTGCACAGCTGACAAGATTCTGAGCTCTGATTCGGCTTTTCATTAACAGAACTAAAGCTTAAAATCGAATCTTGGCTAAAACTTTTACACCATTCTTTCTCTGCTTCACAGCCACTGCTATTTCCTTAAGGAAATGCAAATCAATTTTTTTCCTGTTTTTTTTTCTAGTGATTGATGCACATTTTAATCGCAGGCATATCTTCCCCTAGAGCTGTCGTCAGCTGACTAAATAAAGAACTGCTTTAGCACCTGTCTCTCTGTTTTTCTCAGCCACTGCACCATTCTGAAAACACAGACTCAAGCCCTCAGCCTTCTCAGCTCCAACCTCTGTGATCTGCTTTGATAATGCAGATGAAACGCAGCGTGGCTTGGTTTCAAGCTTGAGAACCTGATGTTTGTGTGTCACATGTGGTCTGTAGGCCTTTTCCTCATTATGGTGTGTTTTTAATATTTGCAAGTCAACAGCCACTAGAGCTAGCTATGCAGCACTCAAATAAGCCGCAACCTCTCACATGTGGCGTGTGTGTGTTGTTAGGTTTGTGACTGTTTACCAGTAGGCTGTTTCCTGGGGTCCGTTCTTCGTACCTCGCTTAATACATCTGAGATGATTTGAAAGATTGCAGATCTTGTAATCGTGATAACTGATCTCTGGCTAATTTGGTTCTTCAAACGAATTAGCGGATTTGAAGCGATTGGCTGGCGGCAAGACAGCAACGTAATGACATCATATAATTAAAAAAGACACCTGGCAAATTTCTGGAAACAGCCAAGCGAAAAAAACTACATAAATGTTATAATAGCTAAATGAAATGTGCACAGTTTTTATTTTATTTACATTTTTTGGACATTATTCCCAATTATTTATATTCATGAGTTCTAGTATTTGTACAGGCTTTACATTTTTATTTCAATGTTGTAATTAGCAGTTCATTTAATTTTATCTTTGAAGCAGATTTGTTATGTGACAGCGTTAATTAAAGTTTCTTAAGGGTCAAGTTATCTGCATCTCCTGTGCTCCATCAAGCCACTCCCATAATAGCTGTCATCACTCAAATTAACTGTATAGCATGTGTGTAAGACTCCAATACAATTATAAAGTAATTATTTCATCATGAATAAATGTTTCAACGAGTAAACCTGGCTGTGTTTACAGAAGGTATTATAGATGACTACACAACATTATCATATTTTTTTATTCATTTTAGAATTATTATTATTGTAAATGATTGTCCCTTGATCAGTAGGGGACTCTTCTAGTAGGATACTTGTCATTTTGACATTTGTGAGTGTGTTGATTAGAGTAAGAACCCATGGATGTGTAGATGGCACATGCAAACACACAAGCATAAAAATACAGGGGTCCAAAAGTCTGAGACCACATTCAAGGTCCAATTTAAACCTGAAAATAAAGATGTAACATTTCAAATAACAAGAAGAAGAAGAACAACAACAATAATACATTTCCTAGATGATTCTTAATTAAATTAATACATTGTCTTTATAATAATAATAATAATAATAATAAGACATTGTATTATTTTTAAATTTGGATCATTTGAATTGATTTATGATTATTACATAATTTTAAATTATTCTAAATTAAAAGTAATACAGTGTCCTTAATCCAATACAAAGTATAATGTATTATTATTATTATCATTATTTATTGTTGTTGTGGTTGTTATTTGTTTCTTTTTAAATTCTTCTCAATTAAATTTAATACAGTGTTTTAAATTATATTATTTTATTAAGCAATTGTTGCCGCTTTCAATCCCATAATGCGCCGTGCAAGCGTTTAAGCTCAACTTCCATAGGAATGAATTGAAAACGCTCGCTCCGTGCCAGTGGAAACGCACGCAAGTCTTTTAGCCAGGTTACAATCATCATCTTGCTCATCTTCAGCTGTGACTGTATTTGTATGTGTGTGTGCTGGGTAGGGCTGGGCAAAAAAATCGAATGCGATTTTCATGCGAATCT